AAGAATATATCCATCATTGGAAATGCTAAGTGTAAGGTGAAATGAGTTCCAAAGCAGAAACTGATCCCAAAAGCAAAGTGTTTTTCCCCATTTAACCAATATTTATCAATACCTACCATAGGGAAGCATTGTCAAAATTCTGTCTGGTATAAACGATGAGGAGCCCCTGAAGACTTTGGGCTTTGGGAGTATTGATTAACTTTTCACCTAAATGTATGGAGGGAAGCCTGGAGAAAAGAGCAGATGAGTGGCAGGGAGGAGACAGGCAATCGAGAAGACCACAGCAACAGTCCAACACAGAGGGTGTGTGCGTGTGGCACCACAGAGGCAGGAGGCATGAAGACAGAGGGAGCAATCCATGTTCACTGCAGCATTACCTCACAACAGCCAAGACATGCAACAACCTAAGTGTCAATGGATGGATGAATGGATACAGAAACTATGGTAACTATACACAATGGAATATCATTCAGCCTTAACTCAGAATATCCTGCCATTTGTGACAACATGGATGAATCTGGAGGACATTATACTAAGTGAAATAAGCTAGATGCAGAAAGGCAAATACCGCATGACCTCACTTTCATGTGGAATCTAAAAAAGCAGAATACATAGGAGCAGAGGGTAGGATGGTAGTTACTGGGGGTGGGGAGGTGGGGGAAACGGGGGGATGTTAGTCAAAGGGCACAGAGTTACAGTTATGTAGGATGAGTAAGTATAGAGATCTAATGTATAGCATGATGACTGTCATTAATACTACTACACTGAACACTGGAAGTGAGCTCAGAGAGTAGATTTTTGGTACTCTTACCACACACACAAAAGGCAACTATGTGAGAAGGTATATTAATTTGCTTGATTGTGGTAATCACTTCACTACGTATACGTATATCAGAACAGCATGTTGTACACCTTGAATACAGCTGACCCTGGAACAAGATGGGTTTGAAATGTGCAGGTCCACTTAAATGCAGATTTTTCGGGTAATTATAGTACAGTCCTGTAAACATTTTCTCTTCCTTATGATTTTCTCTTTTTAAGTTTTTAAATTCCAGTTAGTTAACATACAGTGTAATATTAGTTTCAGGTGTACAATATAGTGATTCAACACTTCCATACAAGACCCTGTGCTCATCATGACAAGTGCATTTCTTAATCCCCATCACCCGTTTAATCCATCCCTCCCCCCACCTCTCTTCTGGTAACCATCAGTTTGTTCTCTGTAGCTAAGAGTCTGTTTCTTTTTGTCCCTTTGCTCCTTATTTTGTTCCTTAAATTCCACACGAGTGTGATCATATGATATTTGTCTTTCTCTGATGGACTTATTTCCCTTAGCATCATACTCTCTAGCTCAATCCATGTGATTGCAAATGGCAAGATTTCATTCTTTTTTATGGCTAAATAATATCCCATTGTATATATAAATAAATATATATACATTTATAATAATATACATTATATACATATATATATACACCACATCTTTATCCATTCATCAATCAATAGACACTTGGGCTGCTTCCATATCTTGGCTACTGTAAATAATACCTCTATAAACACAGGGGTGCAGGCATCTCTTTGAATTAGTGTTCTTGTATTCTTTGGGTAAATACCCAGTAGTGCGATTGCTGGATTATAGGGTAGTTCTATTTCTAACTTTTTGAGGAACCTCCATATTGTTTTCCAGAGTGGCTGTACCAGTTTGTATTCCCACCAACAGTGCACAAGGGTTCCTTTTACTCCACATCCTTGCTAACACTTGTTGTTTCTTGTGTTTTTGATTTCAGCCATTTTGACAGGTGTGAGGGGATCTATTACTGTAGTTTTGATTTGCATTTCTCTGATGTTGTCATGATAAACATCTTTTCATGTATCTCTTGGCCATCTGCATGTCTTCTTTGGAGAAATGTTGTTCATGTCTTCTGCCCATTTTTTAATTGGATTATTTGTCTTTTTTGGTGTTGAGTTTAGTAAGTTCTTTAGATCTTGAATACTAACCTTTATTGGATGTCATTTGCAAATCTCCCATTCAGTAGGTTGTCTTTTAGTTCTGTTGATTGTTTCCTTTGCTGTGCAGAAACTTTTTATTTTGATGTAGTCATTCCTTATGATTTTAACATTTTTTTCTCTAGTTTACTTTATTGTAAGAATATAGTATATAATACATAGAACATACAAAATATGTGTTAATCAACTGCTTATGTTATCCGTGGGGCTTCCAGTCAACAGGAGGCTCTAAGTGGTTAAGTTTTGTTAAGTTATACACAGATTTTCAACTATGTGGGGAGGTTGGTGCCCCTAACTATCCTGTGTTCAAGGAACAACTGTACAGTTTTTATTTTTTTTAAAAGACACAAGTAGCAGAAATGAGAACAATTAAAGAGGTTCAAATCAACAAAACTGGTAGATGGACTGAATCTGTAAGGTAAGAAAGAAGGTAAAAGTCTGGAATGCCATCCCAGGATTTTGACCTGGGAAATGGTTGATGTTGAGTTGATTCTTCAATATGGAATAATCAGAAGGAAGAAAGATTGGGATGAGATGCACTTCATTTTAGACATACTGAGCTCTAGGTGTGTGGAAGACACCCAAGTGAAGATGGCCATAGGATAGGTGGTTGTGGTGGTCAGAAATTCGGGAAAGGAGTATAGAGGAGAGATACTGGCTTTGGTATTGGGAAGTGTACAAGCAGTAGCTAAAACCACTCCCAGATAAGACTTCTGGAAGGGACCACAGTGAAAGAAAAGATAGTGGACAAAGGAGAAAATCCTAGAGAACACCCTCATTTTCTTATTACTAAATTGGCAAAACCCACTTCTTACCCATGATATCCTTCTACCCTCCAATTCCTAGTAAGAAGTGTCCATCTAGGGGCACCTGGGTGGCTCAGTCGTTAGGCGTCTGCCTTCGGCTCCAGTCATGATCCCGGGGTCCTGGGATCGAGCCCCCTATCAGGCTCCCTGCTCAGCAGGAAGCCTGCTTCTCCCTCTCTCACTCCCCCTGCTTGTGTTCCCTCTCTCGCTGTGTCTCTCTGTCAAATAAATAAAATCTTTAGGAAAAAAAAAGAAGTGTCCATCTACCTTTCAAAGGCCACCCCTGCACATAGTGTCTGGATTCCTTCCTTCTCACCTTCTTAAGCAGCTTTTGTTTTTGTTTTTAAGATTTTATTTATTTATTTGAGAGAGAGAGAATGAGAGAGAGAGAGAGAGCACTTGAGAGGGGGGAGGGTCAGAGGGAGAAGCAGACTCTCTGCCAAGCAGGGAGCCCAATGCGGGACTCGATCCAGGGACTCCAGGATCATGACCTGAGCCGAAGGCAGTCGCTTAACCAACTGAGCCACCCAGGCGAAGCAGCTTGTTTTTTGAATTGTTCCCTCTCTCATCATCAGTGGCTGCCCCCTCCCTACTGGATCACTCCTATCTGTATACAAAGGGTTCCAGTATTTCTCATTCTAAAATATACCTTTCTCTTGACCCCACCCTGCCTCTTCCCCACACTGACCCATCTTTCTGTGTCCTTTACAGCTGAGACTTTGTAAAGATATGCCTACACATGCTGTCTTTACTGCTTCCCTGCCCTTTGTCTCTTGAGTGCTCAGGACCCCACTGGAACTGCTAAGTCAAAGTTACCAAAAAACCCCACAAAACTGTAGACCAAATCCAATAGTTTCTGGACATCAGTAGCACTCTATACACTGACTGCTCATTCTGAAAAACACTTAGTCTCCTTATGCTCCTTCTCTTCTTCCCAACCCCTAATGGGATCTTCTTACCACTCTACTTAACACTGCAGCTCCCCCTCCCCCATCCTATCCCCAACACTCTTGATCCCTCTCACTTTGCTATACTTTTTCATCATAAAACTTACTACTTTCTAGTATATAATTATGGTTTCCATTTGTTATTAATTGTATGTCTGCCCTTATATAACTATAAGGTGCAGAAGGGTGAAGGTCTTCATCTATTTATTCATTACTGTATCCCAAACACCTAGAACATCTGGCACATTAGATGATCCATCGATACTGATTCATGAATAAATGAATCAACTCTCTCTGCCAACGTGGTCTCATTCATTGTCAATGCCATTTATATGTTTACTTGGAGCCCAAACATATCCTCTGAACTTCAAACCCATATCCAATAACATACTTGACATACTCACTTCAGTGTATCACAGGAATCTCTAACTTAAAATATCCAAAGCCAAACTCCTCTAATTCATACCTCAAAATACATTCCTCTTCAGTCTTTCCCATCTTAGAAAATGGTACAATCAATCCACAGAGGTGCTCAGTCAGAAGACTGGAGGCCTTCTTTAATTCAATCATTTCTCTCAACCCCTACAGTTAATCCACAAGTAAGCACTGCTCTAAGCTTGGATATGTCTGCTTCTCTCCATCCCCACCTCCATGTAAGCCATCACTATCTTTCACCTGAATTACTTCAATATTTTCCTTTTTCTTTCTTTTTCCTTATTTGTCTTTTTAGAATATATTCTCCAGAGAAGCCAGAGTGAACTTCTAAAAATACAAAGCCAATCATTATTCCTTAATTAAAACCTGAATGAACATGAAATCAATCTGAATTCATTTCCAGGATCTACAAGTCCTTGCACAGTCTGGCCCCTGGCCACCTCTTCAACTTCATTTCATGTCACTCTTCCCCTTGTCCACATAGGCCTCTTTTTGTTCCTTGAGCTTGCCAAGCTCTTTTCTGCCTTGGGGTCTTACTCCACCCCAATTGCTACTACTTCTCCCAGTTCATTCCCTTCAGAGCACGCAGTGCAATTTGTGTTTACAAGCTTCAAGAGGCGATCCAGTGATTTTATGCAACCACATGTACCCAGTGGCATAAGGCAGCTGTCCAGTGAATATTCAATGGAGACCAAAATAGAACTAATCAACATTTAGGAAGAATGCCAAGAAATTCCAGTAAACTAAAATCAAGGGTGAAGAGTTGTTTCCAGGACGTAGTGATGTCAAGAAAGATCAGAAGAGGATCCTTTTGTAGTTTATAAGGGTGATGATTGGGTATTCATGCTGTTGTGTGACAATATGCCTCCCTCAAACCTGTTATGACCTCGGCACTTTACCTGTCTGATGTGGAAAGAAAAAAATCAGGAGAGGAGTGTACATCGGCAATTAATAGGTATGATTAGAACTTTAAGAATCAAAAGTCAAAAATCTTACCTTGAATGTTTTTAATTTCTTCCTTAATGATCTTCCTAAACTTGAACAGCATCTTAGAAGCTGATAATATTTCATCTTCTAAAAACTGACTCAGAGGATTTCCTTTGGGATTTCTTTTGAACTTCACAAAGTAAAAAGCACCACTGTTGCAATATTCTTCTAGCTGAATTCTGGGGACCTCCAGTTTGAACATTATATCAAATTCATTAGGAGCAGAAATCTAAGAAATAGTAAAAATAGCACTGAAATGTTGGTTTGTGAATATTTTCCAAGCAACTGAAATTTTTTTCTTGAAATGTCCACCACATTAACACCCTACTTTGAAAAGCAAGATTCCTGGGGCGCCTGGGTGGCTCAGTCGTTAAGTGTCCGCCTTCGGCTCAGGTCATGATCCCAGGGTCCTGGGACTGAGGCCCGCACTGGGCTCCTTGCTCCGCAGGAAGCCTGCTTCCCCCTCTCGCACACCCCCTCTTCCACTGCCCCTCTCCCACTCCCCCCTCCCACTCCACTGTCTCCCACTCCCCCGTCTCCTACTCCCCCTGCTTGTGTTCCCTCTCTTGCTGTGTCTCTCTGTCAAATAAATAAAATCTTAAAAAAGAAAAGCAAGATTCCTAAGATTTATATCCTCTGGAAGTGGGATTAGTGGAACTAGGAGAGTATTATTGTTTTGGTTTGTAGATTCCACACTCTTTTTTTTAACCAAGAGTATGCATTATTTTTATAATTTAGAACAATTTTAAATGATATGCAAGCTTTTAAAATCCACACCAGCTTTTTTCTGAATTTAAAAGTTAATAAAATAAGGGCGCCTGGGTGGCTCAGTCATTAAGCGTCTGCCTTCAGCTCAGGTCATGGTCCCAGGGTCCTGGGATCGAGCCCCGCATCGGGCTCCCTGCTCCGCGGGGAGTCTGCTTCTCCCTCTCCCACTCCCTCTGCTTGTGTTCCCTCTCTGTGTTTCTCTGTCAAATAAATGGATAAAATCTTTAAAAAAAAAAAAAAACAAAAACTTAATAAAATTAAAAACCAATAAGGTGCTATCTTTTATGTCACAAGATACTGCAGCCACCCTCCTGTCACAATGGTCTAAAAAAATATGTGTAGTCATGTGCTGGCTAGTTGAGCAAAGACCATCTTGTTAGAGCTGCTGGTCACCCAAGTAACTGTGAGTGCCAAGTCATGCACTACATTAGTGTCTGAACCACAGCATTTTAGGAGCTTCAAAGAATCATGTTCATCCCCACAATAGTAATATATGAATCAGCAATCAAAAATGATTATTTTTCTTATATTAAAAATAGCACAGGGCGCCTGGGTGGCTCAGTTGGTTAAGCAACTGCCTTCAGCTCAGGTCATGATACCAGGATCCTGGGATCGAGTCCCACATTGGGCTCCCCCTGCTCTCTGGGGAGCCTGCTTCTCCCTCTGCCTGCCACTTTCCCTGCTTGTGCTCTCTTTCTCTCTCTGTCAAATAAATAAAATCTTTAAAAATAAATAAATATTAAAAATAGCACAAATCTTTCATTAGTCAGGAGCATGCTTCAAGTACAGCTATTGGACTGTACTGTTCAACAGGGTACCTAGTAGCTATATATATCTACTGACCATATGAAATGTGGCTAGTCCAAATTGAGATATACTGTGCTGTATATTGAATTGTGTCCTCCCAAAATTCATATATTGAAGCCCTAACCCCAAAAGTGACTGTACTTGGAGACAGGGCTTTTAGACCGTTAAATGAGATCATGAGGGCAGGGTACTAATTTGATAGGACTGGTGGGAGGAGAAGGAGGTGGAGGAAGAGGAAGAGAAGGAGAAGAAGGGAGATCCCTTTCTCTCTGCCCACATGCACTGAGGAATAAAGTGAGGATACAAGGAGAAGGTGGCTGTCTACAAGCAAGAGAGTCCTCACCCAAACCTAACCATGCTGGCACTATGATCTTGGACTTTCAGCCTCCAGAACTCTGAGAAAATACATGTGTGTTGTTTAAGCCACCCAGCTTATAGTGTTTTTGTTATGGCAGCCTGAGCTGACTAGGGTATACTATGAGAATCGAACACTTGGGAGTGATGTCAGTGGGAATGAAGTAAGAGCCTCTAAAAATTCACTCTTCCACATAAGCAATAAGAACATGGGCCAGATTAGTCAATTCAACTTTTTCAGATCTGTATATTAACCAAGAGCTTGCAACAATCCAAGGAGGATTTATTCCAGAAAAATGGCTGAATCCCAGTAGGAACTGTGAGCTTTGTGGGCACTGCCCTATTCTCACCCCCAGAGCACAGAAGGTTCTCATTCCCATTCCCTCTCAGAAACCCTCCACCCAGAGTAGCTACTATTCTGACTTCTTACACCACAGATTAGGCTCACCTGTTTGGAAACACCATATAAACTGAATCATATAAAATGTATTCTATTACATCTGACTTCTTTTGTTTAATATTACGTTTGTGTGATTCATCCATATTGTTATGTGTATTGGTAGTTTGTTCTTTTTCATCTTATGCAGTATTCTACTGGATTAATGGAATATATCAGAATACATTTACTTATTTTGTTATTAAGTATTTGGGTTAACAGTCAAAACTGTTCTGAGCACTCTTAGATATGCCTTTTGGTGGACTTGAGCACTCATTTCTATTGTGTATATACCTAGGAGTAGAACTGCTGGACCACAAAATAAGCATATCTTTAACTTTAGAAGAAACTGTCAATTTTCTAAAGAAGTTATACCAACCTATCCTCTCTTCATCAAGTAAGGGTGTTTCAGTTGCTCCACATCTTTTCCTAAGATGGAATTGTCAAGCCTTTTAAAATTTTAGCCATTCTAGGGGCGCCTGGGTGGCTCAGTTGGTTAAGCGACTGCCTTCGGCTCAGGTCATGATTCTGGAGTCCCGGGATCGAGTCCCACATCGGGCTTCCTGCTCAGCGGGGAGTCTGCTTCTCCCTCTGACCCTCTTCCCTCTCGTGCTTTCTATCTCTCATTCTCTGTCTCTCTCTCTCAAATAAATAAATAAAATCTTAAAAAAAAATAAAATAAAATTTTAGCCATTCTAGTGGATAGATGTGTGGTAGAATCTCATCATGATTTTAACTTACATTTTGCTGATGATTAATGATGTTGAACACGTTTATTGTTATTTGGATTATATACTAAAGCATCTATTCTTTTGCCCAATTTTAAATTGGTTTGTCTTTTTCTTATTGATTTGTACTAGTCCTTTGTCAGATATACATATTGAGAGTAACTTCTTCCAGGCTGTGGATTGCATTTTCATTCTCTCAATGGTGAGAAGTTCAATTCTAATGAAGTCCAATTTATCTATTTTTATGGTTAGCAATCTTAGTGTCCTATTTAAGAAATATTTGTACATCCCATTGTTATGAAGATACTCTGCTTTCTTCTAGGAGCTTTGTTGTTTTACCCTTCATCTTTAGGTCTATTTTATATCTTGAATTAATTTTTGTGTATGATGTGTGGTAGGTGGGTGTCACAGATATCCAACTGACCCAGTATCGATATTGAAAAAAACAAACCTTTCTCCCACCGAATTACACTATGCATATATTTTGTACTGAATTGAATTATATATGCAGGTCTGTCTCTGGACTTCCTACACAATTGGCTTATTTGTCTATCATTGCACCAATAATAACTGCTTAATTAGGGTAGCTTTATAGTAAGTCTTGCTCTTTGATAGGGTAAGTCCTCCAACATTTTCTCCTTTAGAACTACCTTTTATTCTAGGTTCTTTGCATTTCATTTTTCTTTTTTTTTTTTTAAGATTTTATTTATTTATTTGACAGAGAGAGAGACAGCGAGAGAGGGAACACAAGCAGGGGGAGTGGGAAAGGGAGAAGCATGCATGGGACTCGATCCCAGGACCCTGAGATCATGACCTGAGCCGAAGGAAGTCGCTTAACCAACTGAGCCACCCAGGTGCCCCTTTCATTTCATTTTCATCTCATCTCGTTTCATTTCAATTTTTTTTTTTTTAGATTTTATTTATTTATTTGACAGAGAGTGAGAGAGACAGCGAGAGAGGGAACACAAGCAGGGGGAGTGGGAGAAGAAGAAGCAGGCTTCCCGCTGAGCAGGGAGCCCGATGCAGGGCTCCATCCCAGGACCCTGGGATCATGACCTGAGCCGAAGGCAGACGTGTAACCAACTGAGCCACCCAGGCGCCCCTTCTTTTCATTTTTTTAAGTAGTCTTCATGCCCAGCATGGAGCCCAACATGGGACTTGAACTCAAGACCCTGAGATCAAGACCTGAGCTGAGATCAAGAGTCAGATGCTTAACCAACTGAGCCACTGAGGCAACCCCCCTTTGCATTTTCATGTAAATCTTACAATTAACTTGTCAATTTAAACAAAAAATTGATGGGATTTTGACTGAATTGCACTGAATCTATGTAGATCAATTTGAGGAAAACCGAACATGATATAGATTTCCATTTATTTAGTCCATTTTCAAATTTACTCAGCAATGTTTTGAAATTTTTATCATCTTTAGCAAGATTTATTCCTAAATATTTGATGTTCTTGATGCTATTGTAAATGGCATTTTTACATTTCATTTACACTTTTTTGTTTTTAATAAAACAAAAAACTTTAGTTTTTGTTTACTGACTTTGTATCCAGCAATCCTGCTAAATTCACTGATAACAGTTGAACAACAGATTTGAATTGAGTGGGTCCACTTACACATGGTTGTTTTTTTTAAACAGTACAGTATTATAAATGTATTGTGTCTTCCTTATGATTGTCTTAATAACATTTTCTTTTCTCTTCTTACTTTATTGTAAAATACAGTATGTAGTACATATAAGAGACAAAGTAAGGGGCACCTGGGTGGCTCAGTTGGTTAAGCGACTGCCTTCGGCTCAGGTCATGATCCTGGAGTCCCGGGATCG